CTGTACGTTCGAGAGCACGGAGGGGGGAAGCTGCTAGAAAAGCCACCCTGTCGACTTTTTGCACAGTGCCGGCGCGGACCGGTGATGACATATCCCTGGACCGGTGTCACACGACTTCGATCTGAACCAATGCCAGCGTTGGTGCAATAAAAATTTCTACATTCAATGCGAAATACATTGAAAATTTGCTCTAAATTAAACAATTAAATTAATATTAGCATTAAAATAAACACAACAATACTAAAAGAGTATGCAAACTCTCTTATAAATCTGAAACAGTGGAAAAGTACTGAAAAATCATTGATTGAGTCAGTACCTGTAATCTAACTATAATTTCACTAATAATCTATAATTAAACTATCAATATTAATCTATAATTTCACTGATTACCAGTGAAATACTTGGGAATACTGATGCATTCAATGAATAACCATTGATAATCCAGTGACTATATGCACTGATTCAGATTTAGAGAGAAAGGATACGTGTATGTGCAAGCTAAATATATATTTTTAAAAAATTATTGTTTCTAAAAACATGTCTATTTAAAAATATATTAAGAAATATACACATATTTATGCATTATATATTATTATATTATATTATATATAAGGTATATAATCAAAAGAATTATATTAATAATTTTATTTTGCGAAATGTAGGGAAGACCGGGGCTCGTTGGCACAGTTTTCACAATTTAGACATTCCTGTTTCTAAACAACTATTTATTATAATTAAACTATATTAATATGGTAGAATAAACCTTTCTTTACATTTTCATGCCAGGAACGATTCTGTATACTGTATAGTTTCTTAATAGTAAGTGAAATACGAACATATGCAGCCAATTTACCCCAATAGCCGGGTAAATTGACACATATCATAGTGTAAGTTGCTTAAGCGATAAATTCCATATTAAATTAATGAAAACATAATAGAAGTATTCAGATCGCAGATATGTATTTCTTAAATAAAGATCGCATCCTTTAGAGTTATTTTGTAATGATCAAATAGCAAAATGCTATTATATAGTAATAAATGTAAACTATTTTAGATGTAGCTTATTTCAATACAGAAATATTAAATAAAAAACGTTTTGTCATAATTAAGTTGTAATTGAAAGGTTACACACTTCTTATAGTAAATTAAACTATAAGCTAACCTTAAATATGAGCCAACGTGCCCCATCCTTACAGACATATAACTTAAATCATTTTATTATAATAAATTATGGTTATTATTCAAAATAACATATTGTATAACAAAAACTTTTGTTTTAACTTCTAATAATACATTTACTCTCTCCAGCTGAAGAACATTAGGACGAAATTTTGAAACACTCGAAAATTTACTTGCCTCTTCTTGAATCAGATTTTTATCTGATTCTTTACTGAAATACTTGTTTGATTTAAATGCAACTTAGAGAAATGTGCCTATGTTATAAAAGAGATATTTTACGGTAACTTTTTCATTGTTTCTTTAATCATAAATATACATAAACGGAGCGCAATGCCAACTTTGCCTCTTGTGCCAACGAGCCCCGGTCTCTCCTATAATAAAATTTTCACACACAATTGCATTCGCACACGTTAATGTGTAACAATTACCACTACAATGCGCGAAAGATATATAAGAAAATAAAATTTAGTAAATGACTTGTCCATTAATTTTTCACGAAATCATTCAGTTGCGTTTCTACGATGAGACGCGTCTTTACTTGACACACGCCACAATCTATTAGCGGTCACGATCTACTGGCGGATTAAATGCGAACGGCCGGCGAGCGTTCGAACTCGTAACTTTCTTACGGTGTCATCGCGACGCGCTTTCGATTTCCGCTCGGTCATCGAGTCTCATTTAAAGAGGAGGCGATCCTCGTTAAGCGGCAAAACCGAGAGATCGACTGTCTGATCCCCCTCTCCCCACCCCTCCCCACCGGGCGGTACGCCCACTCGATACCGCGCTTTGATCCGCGGACAAATATCCTCTCGTTTGCCATTTAGCTTCTCCATTTGCCATTTAGCCGAATCGAACTTCACGGTTTTAGCACGTAGCTACCGTAATATCACATCCAGATTCCAGATACTTAATATTAAATAAATAGGTGTCGGTAATAAAACCGTTCATCTCTTAAAGTAGTAAGTTTGCTATCGGACTGAATAATTTGTTTGATCCATATTCTTAACGACTTTAATTGTATAGCAAACGTGTGAATGAAACTATGAACGAAAATGAAGACAGACATAAATTATATAGCTAATATGATAACAGATGTTTTTAAATGCCCTTTGGACGTCTAAATATTTCAACGGTTTAAATACTTTAAATATTACAACTAGTGCATGGAACATTAGGAGCAAGATATACTTTTATTCATAAAAATCATATTTTTAAAGCAAATTTTTCGAAAAAAAAAAACGCAATTTATTATTCAATAACTAGTGCATGGAACATTGGGAGCAAGATATATTTCTATTCATAAAAATCATATTTTTAAAGCATATTTTTCGAAAAAACGCAATTTATTATTCAATAACTAGTGCATGGAACATTGGGAGCAAGATATATTTTTATTCATAAAAATCAAATTTCTAAGATATATTTTTCGAAAAGACGCAATTTATTGTTCAATATTAAATAAAAAAAAACTATTGATATTTTCATTTTCTATTGCAAGAATTATTTTATATGATATAGAGAATTTCGGCTTTAAAATATATGATATTCATGCGCTGGAAGAAACTGCGGAACACGGCACTCGGCAATCGATATTGTCGATGGAGCATAAATGAGCGAATGAATTAGTGATGTAAACCGCGGGTGTCTGATTACCGTGCGCTTTCGGACACGCCGGCACGGTTAAGACGAAGAGAAACACGGGGTGTCGAAGGGGCGCGCATTAGAGAGCCTCGTTTATTATTCATGTGTGAGAGTTAAGCGCACGCGTATGCTATACTCGTAATTTCCGTGCGCATACGACACGAATTTCGTTTCGACGCGTGCACGCAGGAAAATTGTCGCTCACGTACGCGTTTCACCCCCGGAATCGTTTCATTTGTGCGCCCTGCAGTAAGGTTGCACACCCCGCCCACTCAGTAGGCAGCTCTCGGTAATGTTCGCTAAATGAGAATTGTTGAAAGCCTGACGGGAAATTGTAGTTCAATGTAAGTGAAACTGTAATTTATATTAAGAGAGGAAAATTTACGTGCAAATTAGAGCGAGAGAGAGAGAGAGA